CTCCAATAACTACATTGTACTGACGGGAGTGACACTCCAATAACTACATTGTACTGACGGGAGTGACACTCCAATAACTACATTGTACTGACGGGAGTGACACTCCAATAACTACATTGTACTGACGGGAGTGACACTCCAATAACTACATTGTACTGACGGGAGTGACACTCCAATAACTACATTGTACTGACGGGAGTGACACTCCAATAACTACATTGTACTGACGGGAGTGACACTCCAATAACTACATTGTACTGACGGGAGTGACACTCCAATAACTACATTGTACTGACGGGAGTGACACTCCAATAACTACATTGTACTGACGGGAGTGACACTCCAATAACTACATTGTACTGACGGGAGTGACACTCCAATAACTACATTGTACTGACGGGAGTGACACTCCAATAACTACATTGTACTGACGGGAGTGACACTCCAATAACTACATTGTACTGACGGGAGTGACACTCCAATAACTACATTGTACTGACGGGAGTGACACTCCAATAACTACATTGTACTGACGGGAGTGACACTCCAATAACTACATTGTACTGACGGGAGTGACACTCCAATAACTACATTGTACTGACGGGAGTGACACTCCAATAACTACATTGTACTGACGGGAGTGACACTCCAATAACTACATTGTACTGACGGGAGTGACACTCCAATAACTACATTGTACTGACGGGAGTGACACTCCAATAACTACATTGTACTGACGGGAGTGACACTCCAATAACTACATTGTACTGACGGGAGTGACACTCCAATAACTACATTGTACTGACGGGAGTGACACTCCAATAACTACATTGTACTGACGGGAGTGACACTCCAATAACTACATTGTACTGACGGGAGTGACACTCCAATAACTACATTGTACTGACGGGAGTGACACTCCAATAACTACATTGTACTGACGGGAGTGACACTCCAATAACTACATTGTACTGACGGGAGTGACACTCCAATAACTACATTGTACTGACGGGAGTGACACTCCAATAACTACATTGTACTGACGGGAGTGACACTCCAATAACTACATTGTACTGACGGGAGTGACACTCCAATAACTACATTGTACTGACGGGAGTGACACTCCAATAACTACATTGTACTGACGGGAGTGACACTCCAATAACTACATTGTACTGACGGGAGTGACACTCCAATAACTACATTGTACTGACGGGAGTGACACTCCAATAACTACATTGTACTGACGGGAGTGACACTCCAATAACTACATTGTACTGACGGGAGTGACACTCCAATAACTACATTGTACTGACGGGAGTGACACTCCAATAACTACATTGTACTGACGGGAGTGACACTCCAATAACTACATTGTACTGACGGGAGTGACACTCCAATAACTACATTGTACTGACGGGAGTGACACTCCAATAACTACATTGTACTGACGGGAGTGACACTCCAATAACTACATTGTACTGACGGGAGTGACACTCCAATAACTACATTGTACTGACGGGAGTGACACTCCAATAACTACATTGTACTGACGGGAGTGACACTCCAATAACTACATTGTACTGACGGGAGTGACACTCCAATAACTACATTGTACTGACGGGAGTGACACTCCAATAACTACATTGTACTGACGGGAGTGACACTCCAATAACTACATTGTACTGACGGGAGTGACACTCCAATAACTACATTGTACTGACGGGAGTGACACTCCAATAACTACATTGTACTGACGGGAGTGACACTCCAATAACTACATTGTACTGACGGGAGTGACACTCCAATAACTACATTGTACTGACGGGAGTGACACTCCAATAACTACATTGTACTGACGGGAGTGACACTCCAATAACTACATTGTACTGACGGGAGTGACACTCCAATAACTACATTGTACTGACGGGAGTGACACTCCAATAACTACATTGTACTGACGGGAGTGACACTCCAATAACTACATTGTACTGACGGGAGTGACACTCCAATAACTACATTGTACTGACGGGAGTGACACTCCAATAACTACATTGTACTGACGGGAGTGACACTCCAATAACTACATTGTACTGACGGGAGTGACACTCCAATAACTACATTGTACTGACGGGAGTGACACTCCAATAACTACATTGTACTGACGGGAGTGACACTCCAATAACTACATTGTACTGACGGGAGTGACACTCCAATAACTACATTGTACTGACGGGAGTGACACTCCAATAACTACATTGTACTGACGGGAGTGACACTCCAATAACTACATTGTACTGACGGGAGTGACACTCCAATAACTACATTGTACTGACGGGAGTGACACTCCAATAACTACATTGTACTGACGGGAGTGACACTCCAATAACTACATTGTACTGACGGGAGTGACACTCCAATACCTACATTGTACTGACGGGAGTGACACTCAAATACCTACATTGTACTGACGGGAGTGACACTCAAATAACTACATTGTACTGACGGGAGCGACACTCCAATACCTACATTGTACTGACGGGAGTGACACTCCAATACCTACATTGTACTGCTGACGGGAGTGACACTCCAAAAACTACATTGTACTGACGGGAGCGACACTCAAATACCTACATTGTACTGACGGGAGTGACACTCCAATACCTACATTGTACTGCTGACGGGAGTGACACTCCAAAAACTACATTGTACCGAGGGGAGCGACACTCAAATACCTACATTGTACTGACGGGAGTGACACTCCAATACCTACATTGTACTTACAAAAATGACACTCCAATACCTACATTGTACTGCTGACGGGAGTGACATTGAAATACCTACATTGTGCTGACGGGAGTGACATTGAAATACAATATGTACATACATTGTGCTTATAGAAATGACATTCAAATACCTACATTTTACTGACGGGAGTAACATTTAAATACCTACATTGTACTGACGAGTGTGACACTAAATACAATATGTAGCTACATTGTGCTTACAGAAATGTCATTCAAATACCTACATTGTACTGACGGGAATGACACTGAAATACCTACATTGTGCTTATAGAAATGACATTCAAATACCTACATTGTACTGACGAGAGTGACGATCATATACCTACATTGTACTGACGGATATGACACTCAAATACCTACATTGTGCTTACAGAAATAACACTCCAATACCTACATTGTACTGACGATAGTGACATTGAAATACCTCCATTGTGGTTACAGAAATGACATTCAAATACCTATATTGTACTGACGGGGGTAATACTCAAATACCTACATTGTACTGACTGGATTGACACTCCACATACCTAAATTGTACTTACGGGAGGGACACTCATATACCTACATTGTACTGACGGTGCTGACACTCCAATACTTGCATTGCACTGACGGGAGTGACACTCAAATAGCTACATTGTACTTACAGAAATGACATTTCTGTACCTACATTGTACTGACTGGATTGACACTCCACATACCTAAATTGTACTTACGGGAGGGACACTCATATACCTACATTGTACTTTCAGAAATGACACGCAATTTCCTACATTGTACTGACGAGAGTGACACTCAAATACCTTCATTGTTCTTACAGGAATGATAATCATATAACTACATTGTTCTGACGGGAATTACATTCAAATACCTACATTGTACTGAGGGGAGTAAAACTGAAATACCAACATTGTACTGACGGGAATGACACTCAAATACCTACATTGTACTGACGGGAGTGACACTCAAATACCTACATTGTACTGACGAGAGTGACATTTAAATATCTTCATTGTACTGACGGGAGTGACACTCCAATAACTACATTGTACTGACGGGAGTGAGACTCCAATAACTACATTGTACTGACGAGAGTGACATTTAAATATCTTCAGTTTACTGACGGGAGTGACACTCAAATACCTACATTGTACTGACGAGAGTGACATTTAAATATCTTCATTGTACTGAGGGGACTAACACACAAGTACCTGCATTGTACTGACGGGACCTAATACTCAAATACCTACATTGTACCGACGGAAGTGACACTTAAATACCTACATTGTACTTTCAGAAATGACACGCAATTTCCTACATTGTACTGACGAGGGGGACACTCAAATACCTACATTGTACTGACGGGAGTGACACTCAACTACCTACATTGTACTGACGAGAGTGACATTTAAATATCTTCATTGTACTGAGGGGACTAACACACAAGTACCTGCATTGTACTGACGGGACCTAATACTCAAATACCTACATTGTACTGGCGGAAGTGGCACTTAAATGCCTACATTGTACTTTCAGAAATGACACGCAATTTCCTACATTGTAATGACGAGAGTGACACTCAACTACCTACATTGTACTGACGAGGGTGACATTTAAATATCTTCGTTGTACTGAGGGGACTTACACACAAATACCTACATTGTACTGACGAGAGTGACACTCAAATACCTACATTGTACTTACAAAAATGACACGCAATTTCCTACATTGTCGTCTGATAGCGATTAATTTACTGTCTGTCGATTTCTTAACGCGGATGTGTTTTTGACAATTTAAGAAAAACATGGAGGAATATTTTTATGCGAATAAAAATTTCTCAAAGAAGCATGTTCTGTTTGTTAATACATTGTCGTTACTTTTATTTTGTATGATGTATAAGGATTTGTCAACAAGTTTTAATTTTAAAATATAGAAAAACCTCATACATTAATTTTAGATTAATTTATTCAATTTTCTGCCAGTGTTGACAAAAATATTCTACTGGGTTGCAAATACCCTATTGTAATCTAAAAGATTTCTCAAACGGGTCACAAACTGAGTGTCATACACGTGTGCCTTTTCTTATAGGAAAGGTAAACAAAGACCTATTTCTTGATGCTACGCTTTCGAATAAATAAATGAATACATACATAAATAAATAAATATCTGAAAAGAAAAAAAAAATCGCCAACTTACCGTGTTTACATCCGAGGAGGACACAGATAGGAACAATGTAAAGCCAGGACTTGTTCATCCTGCATCCTTCTCACCACCGACACACAGAGAGGAATTCTTGAATCTTTTTTATCCCCAGTAAATCCCAAAACGGTAGACACACATCGTCGTGGTGTTGTCACTGCAGAAGGACCAGCGTCAAGGCGAACTACGGACGCGAGGGATTGATCAGATTGCCGTTGCCATAGTTTTCAGAGAAGCCTGCACTATTGTCGAGGAGGACCAATACCCTGTACCATGTTCTCCTTCCGGTTTCTCGCTACTGTGTTACGGAAATGAATATGTGACTGTCTCGCGCGAGTGTAGATTGAGGACTGAAGAAGTGTGTCCCTCTCGGGGCGGTGTCGCGAGACTGAGATGGATCAATGACAGGGACGAACCACCACCACACCGGGAGAACGGCCTCACCGATCGATCCCACACTACTCTATTAATAATGAAAGCTTTCCCACCTGTTGAATTGCGATTCGGGCAAGACCATGTATGACATCGTTATACCCATGTGCCACGATTCCTCAGGTCATCTGCATCCCTCTTGTTCGTCCCTTTATCTAACACCCTTACTGATTCTGTTGAGAACCAAGTTGATGGCGTGGCAAGATCACGTCGTTAGAGAGCGATAAGTGTATTTAACGATAAATTGCCGCTGGGCTCTATCCCAGTGTTACTAGACGAGGATACAACACATAGAAACATTAAATACACTGGTACACTTGCTGTTCGTTTTTTCTTAGTAAGTAACCCACTATAGCCGTCCATCATTGTTGATATTTTCTTGGCGTTACTTACACATACCTTAGCTGTAACGACGTGGTAATTAATGATTCAATGAGAGAACCGTAATTAGTTATTAAGGGAGTGATGCTGTTTTGTTTCATCGTTGGCATTTGTTAAACAAATGTTTTGTTTGGCATTGTGTACATTTTGCAGCAAGCAGTAATGTGAAATATTTGAACCCGTCATTGTTGCAAGCCCTTGGTGTAATGCCGTTTCGTAACACATTGCAATGCGAGCGCCTGATTACGTTTTTCACGTGTAATATATACATACATATTATATTTATAGAATACAATAGTAAATATGTAAGATCTTCTTCTAGGGCTTTCTGCATTTTAGGGCTTCTTCAGGCGGAATCCGACTTCTTGAGTCCGCCCGAAGAAGCCCTAAAAAGCAGAAAGGCCTAGCGGTAGATCTTAAATATTTATTATTTTATCCTACATTTGCATTCGCAAGGACTTGTTAATTTATTATTTTCATATATATGTATCTATATATCAACAAGTGTACGGGTCAAACCGCCTCTGCGGGGCATCCGTCCTCATGCGCTACAAGATGGTCGCAAAGCACAACACTGATACTCGTAAGATCAATTCATTACGAATGAATCGATGGTAAAAAGAAGGAAGTGAGCTAGAGTTAAGTGCGGATTGTATAGCGGAATACTCGACACCAATGTATACATTGATTTTATATATCTCTCGATAACACCATTGGCAGTCGTGCGCTGTCACTGGCTGGCGGCTTGAACATGAAAACAGAGGAGAAAAAAAAACAAGTTAATCCATCACGAACATGCTTTGTCTGATAATAAGCCTGAGCTGATAATTAGATGATAAAAACGCCAAGGAAAATTATATATCAACGACCAAACAGCTTATCACAACTTTATTTATCTCTAGTCTATTCACAAATCAATATCTACTACTTAACGTTTTACCTGACGTATTGCAATGTTTATTATGTTGAGTATGACGGGGGACCAATACGTATTAAAATCATTTCGAAGAAACCACTGCATCTACTTACAAGATCTATAAGGCATACACATCGTTAACAAATCACGTACAATGTACACTCGATATGGCGAGCACACGTTCTTATAATCAACCAGCAGATTTGATCTTTATCTTATCATGAAAACGACAGATAAGACCTGAATGCTTGAACTGTTTGTATAACTAACAACCGCATGCAAGTTCCGTAATTTCGTTTATGAACTATAGTCAAAGGAAATACCACTATTTTTTTCTCTCTGAAAGATGTTTTCTTTTAAAATAATATTCATGCTCTCAAAGGCATTTGACTGCGAGTACTACCTGTAATTTGATCACCGTTGGCCGCATGGGGCTCTTCCGTGCCATAGTAAATAGCTTTATTTAATTAGCCAAATGTATTGTCACGGGACACGTGCAAAACTAACATCAGACCAGAAGCAGAGTCTTCTAGAACTGATTCAATAACTAACTTTTCTCTATAGCAGTCTCCTGAATTTTATAAATCTTCATTTATGCTTCTATATATTGGTTGAGAGAAATTTCACTTAACAGTCCTATAAATTATGCATTGTCCTGAGTACGCGTTTGATATTTGCTAAGAAAGCTATTACTCTTAATAATGTTGGCACACGGCACATGCAGCATGTACGCATGTTCCATTTGTTTGTTATAATATCGCCCAGCAAACATGTATCTCGTTACTGTTTTATTGCTATTACTTGATATTAATGGTGGATATTAATGTTCTCATCAATTGTTTTCCAAACAAAAGTCTGTTTAATCATCATTCCTCCTCCTCCTCCTCTCTCCTCCTCCTCCTCGTCTTTATTACAGCATAGATAACTGTGCAGTTTGAAAGGTGGTGTGACTGTCTAAATTCCTGATGGACTAAATTCAACCAAAGAAATGCGATTTCATGACTTACTTCCTGGAGGGTGTCGCACTAATTGCTCTCAATCCCCGTTTTGATTTATTGGTTGGTGCATGAGTGCTTTGGGCCGATTTCCATTTCATATGAGGCAATTACTAGTTGATCCAGCAAGAGACTTGCCTCTGCCTATTCCCCTCACAACTTTACAAGTCAATTCGTCCTAAATACTTGAAACAATATGTAAACTATCATGATTAAAGCAAAGTGTTTTTACGTGTTCACTGTAAATGCAGTGTGTTAGCACTGAAACGATGCTGTGTATGAGCAATGAGTCGATGTCGTGTATGAGTACTGACACGATTTTGGGTATGAGCACTGAGAGGATGTTGTGTATGAGCACTGAAACGATGTTGTGTATGAGTTCTGACACGGTGTTGTGTATGAGTACTGACACGATGATGTGTATGAGTACTATGACGATGTCGTGTATGAGTACTGACACGATTCTGGGTATGAGCACTGAGAGGATGTTGTGTATGAGCACTGACACGATGTTGTGTATGAGCACTGAGACGATGTCGTGTATGAGCACTGACACGATTTAGGGTATAAGCACTGAGAGGATGTTGTGTATGAGCACTGAAACGATATTGTGTATGAGTTCTGACACGGTGTTGTGTATGAGTACTGACACGATGATGTGTATGAGTACTATGACGATGTCGTGTATGAGTACTGACACGATTCTGGGTATGAGCACTGAGAGGATGTTGTGTATGAGCACTGAAACAATGTTGTGTATGAGCACTGACACGATGTTGTGTATGAGTATTGAAACGATGTTGTGTATGAGTACTGATACGATGTTGTGTATGAGTACTGAGACGATGTCGTGTATGAGTACTGACACGATTTTGGGTATGAGCCTGAGAGGATGTTGCGTATGAGCACTGAAACAATGTTGTGTATGAGCACTGACACGATGCTGTGTATGAGTATTGAAACGATGTTGTGTATGAGTACTGAGACAATGTTGTGTATGAGTACTGAGACGATGATGTGTATGAGTACTGAGACGATGTTGTGTATGAGTATTGAAACGATGATGTGTATGAGAACTGACACGATGTTGTGTATGAGTATTGAAACGATGTTGTGTATGGGTACTGAGACGATGTTGTGTATGAGCACTGACACGATGTTGTGTATGAGCACTGACACAATGTTGTGTATGAGCACTGAGACGATGTTGTGTATGAGCACTGGCACGATGTTGTGTATGAGCACTGACACGATGTTGTGTAGAAGCACTGAGACGATGTTGTGTATGAGCTCTGAGATGATGTTGTGTATGAGCACTTACACGATGATTGTATGAGTACCGACACGTTGTTGTGTATGAACACTGGCATGCTGCTGGGTATGAATATTGACACGATGTTGTGTATGAGATTTAAATCGATGTTGTGTAGAAGCACTGAGACGATGCTGTGTATGAGCTCTGAGATGATGTTGTGTATGAGCACTAACACGATGTTGTGTATGAGTACTGATACCATGTTCTGTATGAGTACTGACACGGTATTGTGTATGAATAATGACACGATGTTGTGTAGGAGAACTGAGACGATGTTGTGTATCAGCAATGACATGATGATGTGTATGAATATTGACAGGATGTTGTTTATCAGTTTAAAACCGATGTTGTGTACGAGTATTAAACCGATGTTTTGTAAGAGCACTGACACGANTGACAAGATGTTGTGTATGAGTTTTAAACCAATGTTGTGTATGAGTATTAAACCTATGTTTTGTAGGAGCACTGACACGATGTTGTGTATGAGCACTGAGAGGATTTTGTGTATGAGCATTGACACAATGTTGTGTATGAGCATTAAAACGATGTTGTGTAGAAGCACTGAGACAATGTTGTGTATGAGCTCTGAGATGATGTTTTGTATGAGCACTGACACGATGTAGTGTATGAGCACTGACACAATGTTGTGTATGAGCACTGACACAATGTTGTGTATGAGCACTGACACAAAGTTGTGTATGAGCACTGACACAATGTTGTGTATGAGCGCTGACACGATGTTGTGTATGAGCACTGACACGATGGTGTGTATGAGCACTGACACGATGCTGTGTATGAGTACTCACGATGTTGTGTATGAGCACTGACACGATGTTGTGTATGAGCACTGGGACGATGTTGTGTATGAGCACTGGGACGATGTTGTGTATGAGCACTGAGACGATGTCGTGTATGAGCACTGACACGATGCTGGGTATCAGCAATAAGACGATGTTGTGTGTGAGCACGGATATCATGTTGTGTATGAGTAATTAAACTATGTTGTGTATGAGTATTGAATCGATGTTGTGTATGCGCACTGTTACGATGTAGTGTATGAGCACTGACACGATGCTGTGTATCAGCAATAAGACGATGTTGTGTGTGAGCACCGATACCATGTTGTGTATGAGTAATTAAACGATGTTGTGTATGAGTATTGAAACGATGATGTGTATCAGCAATGAGACGATGTTGTGCGTGAGCACCGATATCATGTTGGGTATGAGGAATTAAACGATGTTGTGTATGCGCACGTGGTGTATGAGCACTGACACGACGTTGTGTTCGAGTACTGAGACGGGGTTGTGTATGAGTACTGACACAATGTTGTGTATGAGCGCTGACACGATGTTGTGTTCGAGTACTGAGACGGTGTTGTGTATGAGTACTGAGACGCTGTTGTTGTGAATGAGTTCTGACACGGAGTTGTGTATGAGTACTGAGACGATGGTGTCAATGAGTATTGAAACGATGTTGTAGCGCTGACACGATGTTGTGTTCGAGGACTGAGACGGTGTTGTGTATGAGTACTCACGATGTTGGGTATGCGCACTGTTACGATGTAGTGTATGAGTACTGACACGATATTGTGTATGAATAATGACACGATGTTGTGTATGAGCTCTGAGATGATGTTTTGTATGAGCACTAACACGATGCTGTGTATCAGCAATAAGACGATGTTGTGGGTGAGCACCGATACCATGTTGTGTATGAGCAGTTACACGATAGGGTATAAGCACTGAGAGG